TTTTTTTTTTTTTTTTTTTTTTCTTTTTTTTTTTTTTTTTTTTTTTTTTTTTCATTTTTTTTCATTTTTTCTTTTTCACTTTTTCATTTTTTCATTCATTCTTTTTTTTTCAAGCATAGTACTTCTTGACAGAATCTGAGTTTACCGGATTTCTCATTTTTTTCCATCCATCTCTCCAAAATCACGCTCCCCAAAAGGCCTTATTGACAACATATGGACCTTCCCAATTAGGCATCCATTTCCCTCGGAAATCTTTATGAATTGGCAGGATCTTTTTTAGCACCAGATCACCCTCTCGAAATTCTCTTGGATGAATCTTCTTATCATGAGCTCTCATCATCCGTTTCTGATACATCTGACCGTGGCAAATAGCTTTTAATCTCTTTTCTTCAATGAGATTCAACTGGTCAAACCGAGCCTGAACCCATTCAGCTTCATCCAACTTCACCTCTTTCAAAATTCGAAGTGATGGGATTTCCACTTCCACTGGCAAGACTGCCTCCATCCCATAGACTAAAGAGAAAGGTGTTGTCCCTATCGAAGTTCGCACTGTAGTTCGATATGCATACAAAGCAAAGGGTAATTTGTCGTGCCAATCTCTATAAGAATCAGTGGTCTTTGTAATGATCCTCTTAATATTTTTATTTGCTGCTTCCACTGCTCCATTCATCTTTGGACGGTAAGTCACTGAATTAGAATGTTTTATCTTGAACTGAGCACAAAGTTCTACCATTATTGTGTTATTCAGATTGGTGGCATTATCTGTGATGATTCTTTCTGGCAGCCAATACCGACAAATTATCTATTTCTTTATGAATTTGCAAACTGTAGATCTCGTGATATTGGCATATGAGGTGGCCTCAACCCACTTAGTGAAGTAATCAATTGCCACAAGTATGAAGCGATGTCCATTCGAAGCCTTTGGTGTAATTGCCCCAATGACATCCATACCCCACATAGAAAACGACCATGGTGCAGTCATCACGTGCAAAGGTGACGGAGGTGTATGGATCTTATCTCTATAGATTTGACATTTGTGACATCTTCTTGCGTAATCAACACAGTCTGAATACATAGTGGCCCAATAGTATCCGTATCTCATGATCTTCTTGGCCATAGAAAGCCAATTTGCATGTGTTCCACATATCCCTTCATGCACCTCTTCAAGTATACTTCTTGCTTCTCGGGCATCCACGCATCTCATCAAAACTTGATCACTACCCCTTCTATACAAAACTTCCCCATCCAAGATATATCCAGCAACCATTCTCCTTATTGTCTTTTTATCAATCTCAGACGCCTGTTGTGGGTAAGTTTGATGCTTGATGTATTGCAAGATGTTATAATACCATGGACGACCATCTACCTCTTCTTCTAGGCTATAACAGTGTACCGGGGTTTTATATATTTGCATTTTAATTGGTGTCATGTCAGCTTTTCTATTTGCTTGAAACATTGCAGCCAGTGTGGCCAAAGCATCTGCCATTTGATTATCTTCTCTAGGGAGATAATTGAAAGTGACATCTTCAAATTCTTTTACCAATTCAAGGATCAATCTTTTGTATTCCACTAACTTCGGATCTCTTGTCTCCCATTCTCCACGCAATTGGTACACCACCAGTGAGGAATATCCATATACTTTGAGCTCTTTAATTTTTCTTTCCATGGCCGCTCTTAACCCCATGGCACAAGCCTTATATTCTGACATATTATTAGTGCAAAAGAACTCCAATCTGCTTGTAAAAGGATAGTATACATCTTCCGGGGAAATTAGTACAACTCCAATTCCTCATCCTAAAGCATTGGATGCCCCATCAAAATATAACCTCCAAGACTTATCATTTGAAACTGTTTCATCCTCGGTTGTGACGCACATCAGATCTTCGTCAGGAAAATTAAAGTTTAAGGACTCATAATCATCCGAGGCACGACTTGCAAGAAAATCTGCTATGACACTCCCTTTGACCGCTTTTTTGTTTACATACACAATGTCAAATTCTGATAACAACATCTGCCACCTAGCCAATATACCAGTTAGAGCCGGTGATTCCATCAAATATTTCAATGGGTCAAGTTTGGATATCAACCAGGTAGTATGGTACAACATGTATTGCCTGAGCTTTTTGGTAGCCCATACCAAAGCACAACATAACTTTTGAATTGGCGGATATCGGATCTCACAATCTGTGAACTTTTTGCTTAAATAATATATGGCTCTCTCTTTCCTTCCAGATTCATCGTGCTGCCCTAACACACACCCCATCGAATTCTCAAAGACCGTTAGGTAAAGGATTAATGGTTTACCAGGGACTGGTGATACTAGAATTGGAGCATTGGACAAATATTTCTTGATTATCTCTAAAGTATTTTGGCACTCGTCATTCCATACTTCGGGGTTGTTCTTTCGAAGCAACTTGAAAACTGGGTCACATTTATCAGTTAATTGCGAAATGAATCGAGATATATAATTTAACCTTCCCAGAAAACCTCGAACTTCTTTTTGTGTACAAGGTGTCGGAAGATCTTGAATGGCCTTTACTTTGTCCGGATCGATCTCAATTCCTCTTTGACTAACCACGAAGCCTAAGAGTTTCCCTGACATTACCCCGAAGGTACATTTAGTTGGATTGAGTTTCAATTGATATTTTCTCAATCTTTGGAAAAGTTTCTTCAAGTTTTGAATGTGTTCTTCTTCAGTCTTGGATTTGGCAATCATGTCATCTACGTACACTTCAATCTCTTTGTGCATCATATCGTGGAAAAGAGTCACCATAGCTCTTTGGTAAGTTGCCCTAGCATTTTTCAAACCAAATGGCATCACTTTATAGCAAAATGTACCCCACATAGTCACAAATGTGGTTTTTTCCATGTCTTCAGTGTTTATTTTGATTTGGTTATAGCCAGAGAAGCCATCCATAAAAGAAAACCACGAATGCCCAGCAGTGTTATCCACTAGAGTATCTATATGAGGCAACGAAAGATTGTCTTTTGGGCTTGCTCTATTGAGATCTCTATAATCCACACACATGCGAACTTTTCGATTTTTCTTTGGCACGGGGACTATGTTAGCGACCCATTCCGGATATTTTGCTGCCTGAAGAAACCCTGCATCAATCTGTTTCATCACTTCCTCTTTAATTTTTAACAACATTTATGGCCTCATTCTTCTGAGCTTTTGCTGAACTGGCTTACACTCAGGCTTTATTGGAAGCTTGTGCACCACTATGTTTGTACTCAACCTTGGCATATCTTGGTAAGACCATGCAAAGATGTCTTTGAATTCTCGGACCATATCTATTAGGTATCGTCTTATTTCAACTGAAAGTGCACTGCCGATTTTTACTTCTCTCTTTTCATCATCAGTTCCCAAGTTTATAATCTCAGTCTCCTCCTGGTGAGGTAAGATATATTTGTCCTCATTTTCCACCAGTCTTACTAGTTCGTTAGGAACATCACATTCTACCTCATCCTGACACTCATTGATTTCTTCCAGACATATGGGTCGCTCAAAGTTTATCTCAGGATTAAATTTAGAAACATTCATGCTATTGATATTGTGACACCTGCAAAGGGAAAAAATTGAATCGAATATATATTTGGGAGGAGAGACAAAATTTATGAAATGAATGTAAAGAATGAAGAACAAAGAATGAAGAATGAAAATGTAAATAATGATGGCCATTTGAGAAACAAAAATATGTCTTTCATTGAAAGCAAGTAGAGTTAACATAGCTGCCCTTACAAAAAGATTCCTTAATACTCGCGGGCATAAGTATAAGGATTAGTTCTGGGTATTACTCTGAATTAATCTTAACAACTACAGGGAGATCCTCTGCAGTCCAATTTTTCAGCGTTTCTCCTGGGAAGCAAGGATGAATTCTAGCCAAATATTTTCCCGCTTTATCATCCCCAGTTATCATGTTGATGACCAAACCCTCCATGGCTTCATCAAACAAGTCTTTGTCTTTCATCTGCTTTCCTTCATCAGTTGCTCTGGCTAACTGTTGCTCCATATCATTCACTCCTCCAAACTTGAATGAGCTCTTTAAGGGAGAGAAAAACATACGATCCCACGGAATGTCCTCTCTTTTCAGTCTAGCTCTTCTTACTTCACATCTCCTCTTTAATTCTTTCTTTCTTTGCTGAGAATCAGGCTCAAACCCAAGCCCAAAGCGGTCGCTCTTCATCATAACAAATTTGGGATGTAAAGTCCCCTGCAAGCATCTACCGAGACCCTTTCCAATTTTAGCTCCTTTTCCTAGAGTCTCTCGCACAGTCATCTTAGTGCACTCAGATAAATGCAGGTGAGGAATCTTGTTTCCTTCAGCAATGAAAGTAGCGTTGACAAATTCTAAGGCTCTGAAGGAACACTCTAGGGCATTCTCATTGGTCTCAATGTAAGGGGTGTCAGTCGTCACGGAAGCAATGATCTCTTCCTCTGCCCCAATACTGATTAACTGGCCATCTATCACAAATTTCAATTTCTGATGCAATGACGAAGGGACTGCCCCTGCTGAATGAATCCATGGTCTCCCATGCAAGCAGTTATATGATGGGTTGATATCTATTACCACAAAATCAATATTGTAAACAGTTGGTCCAATCAATAATGGTACCTCCATCTTTCCAAGGACATCCCGCTGGGTTCCATCAAAGGCTCTAACAATATTTTGGTAGGCCCTCATATGTGAGTTGTCCACTGGTAATCTTCGTAATGTGGCCATAGGCATAACATTGAGTGCCAACCCATTGTCAATCAAAACACCTGGTAAGACATGACCATGGCAGTGGGTTGTGATATTGAGGGCTTTTACCGATCCCATTCTACCATCAGGAATTTTATCATCAGTGAATGTTATATAATTGTCTGCAGCTATATGCCCCACAATTCGATCCAACTGGTTCACTGTTATATCCTCAGGCACAAATGTTTGATTGAGCACTCTAAGTAGAGCATTCCGATGTACTTCTGAATTCATTAACATATCCATAATTGAAATTCATGCTTGTTGCTTATGTAGCTGCTCTACTACACTATACTCACTATGTTTTAAGAATTTCAAGAATTCTTGTGCTTGTGCTTCAGTTACCGACTCATTGATTAGTGGTAGGGGCTCATCATTAAATATTCTTTGCGGTACCACTGCAGCTTTTCCTTTCAATTTCCCCTTGTCTGCTTCTTTTGATGTTTCAGGAGAGTAACACCTTCCACTTTTTGTAAAGTGCCCTACTTCACTCACTATTTCATTCTTCAAGCTGCTTCCTGGTGTTTTATCATTTTCTTCAGCTACTTTTGTTTCCTCTAGCGAACCAGATCCCCTTATCATTGAAACATTGGCAGTGTAGTTCCAAGGTACCTTGTGGGTATCTTTAAACGGAAATGTTGAAGGGGCCGTGATAACAACTTTTGGCTTCACTGACGTGGAATTCATCGTAGATGGTCTCACAGTGATGACCACAAGCTTATTTGTTTTATGCATTGGCTTGGAATTTTCAGTTGTGCAGACATCTTCTCCTCTTTTTTCCTCATCTTTCTCAAAGAATTCTATTTCCTTGTTATCCATCAACTTTTGTAGTAACCCCCTAAATTCTGGGCAAAGTTGAATTTTGTGTCCTTCTTCTTGGTGATATTCACAATAATTTTCACATTCATTGGGCTTTGGTTTAGGATCTTGTTGAACCATGCCGACATGATAAAGTTGTTGGAACACCCAAATGAAGGGAGATTTGATTTCATCAACATCTGTCTTCATTTTTTTCCTATTCTCCTCATGGACTGCGTTCACACCTTTACCTCCATGATTCGGTAGTGGGTGTGTCGATACATCAGGTGAATCAAATTGCAATCCCCCAGTATTAATCAGATTTTGCACAACTTTTTTGAAGGCCAAAATGTTCTCAATTGAGTGACCAGTAATTCCATCGTGGTAATCACAATGTGCATTTACGTCATACCAATGAGGGTACGGTGGTTGCAGAGGAGTCAAACGATAAGGGCGCACCACATCCACCTTTAATAACGAGGCGTATATCTCAGAGTAGGGTACTGGTAGTGGTGTGCAGGACATTCTCTCATTCTCCTTGCGAGGTCCCTTGGAATCATTTCTGGCGGTGCTCGTGTCATTCCTTTCATCCCTTGGTTGGGTTATTGTGACACTTTTTGAAGTATTCTTGTTGTATACATTTGCATTATTAACTTCGTTTTCTTTTTTCCGGTATACTGGTTTTTTTAAACTGGACCCATCAACTGCCTCGATCTTGCCACTCTTTATAGCGTTCTCGATGAGCTCCCCTGAGATAACTAGATCAGTAAAGTTTTTGGTGGCATTTCCAAGTAAATGCCCTAAGTACAGAGCCTTCAAGGTGTTGACAAAAATTACAGTAGCTTCTTTTTCAAGTAAAGGGGGTTGGACCTGTGCGGCTACGTCACGCCACATCTGGGCATATTGTCGAAAAGTCTCATTATTTCTCTTTTCCATATTCTGAAGAGTCCACCGATCAGGAACCATATCTGTGACATGGCGATACTGTTCTAGGAATGCCTTTGCCAAGTCTCTCCATGATTTAATGTGAGCCCTAGTTAATTGGTTGTACCATTTGGTGGCAGATCCTTTCAGACTGTCTTGAAAACAGTGAATCAGTAGCTTTTCGTCTTGCACATGGCCAGCCATCCTTCGGCAAAACATGGTGATATGAGATGAAGGGCATGTGGTACCATCGTATTTTTCAAATTCGGGAACCTTGAACTTCATAGGGATGATCAAGTCTGGGACCAAACTCAGCTCTCTAGCGTCAAACCCATAGAATGATTCAACCACTTATACCGATTTTACTATTTCTTCCAAATTCTTCAACTGTTGAGTTATTTCTTCATTGGCTTTCTCCTTTTCGGCTAACTCATTTAGATCGGGGATTAGGTGCTCAGTACTAAATTCTCCTAGCCTTACTCCTGGAACAGACTGATAGCTATTTGGGAATGTAGATCCCATTTGTTGTTGTTGATTCTCATTGCTGACATATGCATGAGATCGAGCTTCTTGAGGTATCGAAGAACGAGTAGAGATGTGTATAGGTGTGAAACCAAGAGGAGGACCAGATTCTGTTGTGATCCCTGGAGGGGGTTTGGAATCTTGGTTAGAGGAGGCGGGATTTCCAGCATGACTCTTTTCAGCATGTTTCTTGAATAGGTCCTCTAATTTCTGCAGCATATTCAGTTGTGAACTGGCAATATTGGCCTCAATCTTTTCAAATTTACTTCTCATTTCTGCATGCATATCTTTCTGCTCTTGCTCGAGACGGTCCAATTTGTCGTCCATACTTTCCTGGTATAGTAAGAATGTTGCGTTTCTTTGTTGCTAACAGGGGCCAGGGTAGCTGTGATTGGAAACCTTATCGTATTATTTTGGTGCTTTTAATTAATGAATGCATGTCTTAATGCGAAATATTTAAAATTCATACATAAATAAATACAAATGAAGAATGAATGTATGCAAGAGGTATTGATCCAGAAAAGTTAATTGTCATAGAAAAACTTCCATTATAACAAAAAGTTTTCATTACATAATAGTTCACTTCTACAGATACGTCTTAGTTCAACATCCATTGCAACAAAAAGTTTCATTACATAATAGTTCACAGATACAGCCTAGCTCTTCTATTAAGCTCAGTAATTTCACTAATCATCCACAACATCTTCTTCCCACACTTAGAAACCGGATTGATGTGGTGCTCGATGACCTTTGCTTCGACAGCTAGTTCTCCAATGTATCTGGCAACTTCACTCATCTGTATTATGGCCTCGGCTACCATGTTGCTTCTGGCTGCATTTTGTTCTTCATAGAAATCATTTGATTTTTGCCACTGTTCAGTAGTTCCTTGAAGATTTCGCTCTAGCTCATTAATTCGTACATGACAACTCTACAGTGCACTTTCCAGATGTTGAATTCGCTTTCGCAGCAAGGCATTCTCTTCAAGACTTTCCTGAAGATCACTTGGTCCCCGGAGAACATTTTCTTGGAACAAGGATTCTTCGAGTTGTAGGATGTAATCACTGAATTCTGTGTTTTTAGCCCGACACTGAGCCAGATCCTCTTCAAGTCTTGTATGTCTTTCTGCATCCTTCGATTGAGACTTCGTACTTCTGTATTTTTGTCTCCACACCTTTTATCCAGCCGTTGGTTGTCTCTTGCCTTGCTTCAAGCGTAGTATTGAAGTGTTGCTTTTCCAATTCCCATATCTTCCTTTCAGTATCAAATTCTTCGATTATTTGTCCTCTATCATCAAGTTCGACAAGCATGTTATTCATTTCGGCTTCAAATCCTCTGAACATGATGGTCTTCTCAGCCTCGAACCCCTCAAGAATGCTATTCTTTTCATCTTCCAGTTCTTTGACACGATCTTTCTCCCTTTTTAATTCTTTCATAGCTTCGCGATTCTCAGCTTTATATTTTATGATCCGCTCCCTCTTATCAAGCTCAAGCTCTTCTACTTTTTGCTTCCCTTTCTCTAAGCTCTTGAGTAGACGATCGTTTCTTGCCTTCATATTTTTGACTCGATGTTTCTCTTCGTTTAACTCTTTGGTTAATTGTGCTGACGTTCTGCTTGACCCAACTGTGGACCTAGATTTTTGCAGCTTGTAGTAATCCTTCTTCAGATCTTTTAAATCGATTCTATTTTTTCTTTTCTCACTTTTAGCATTGCAAATTGTGCAGCATGAAAGTCAGCATCGATGCTCAACATGTATTTGTCTTGTCGCATCTGTTCCAGTTCTTTTGACCAACCTTATTTCTCGGCCTCGAACTCCGTTCTCAAGATCTCTACCTCTGATGGGACTATCTGAATTCTTTCTTCCATAGAGATATCCTCAGCTCTAGTACGGAAAATCTTTTTCCATGCTCTAACTGCCTCAAGGATGTTCTTCTTATAATTGTTTCCGTGAAACACGAATTCAGATGAGTGCAATCCAGCAGTGACTGGGACAAATTGACGGCCATCATATTGCCTCAAAACCAAAAGGGGTGCGTACCCAATTCCTCCCCACAAACCAAGCAGCATCACCCAATTGTAGTCACCACATTTATAGAGGAGTTCACTTTGTATTTGCCAAGGGGCGCGCCAAACAATGTCCTTGTCTTGCATATTTCTAAAGGCATCTATCCACATGTCTTTAGTGACTCCTTTTGGCCAATCTTGCTCGAGGAATTCTCTCAAAGACGAGTAATTGGTACTAAAACGATGATATGAAATCTTTTCAATTTTCCAAAAATGACTACGTATCCAGACATATAGTAGTTGTACGCACCCTGAAAATCGACCACCTCCAAGCCTTCGACAAGCATTCAAGGATCGGAAAGTCTCTGCTAAAATCATAGGAGCAGGGTTGATCTTTTTTGGTAATTGTTCAAATAAATCCACAACTGCAGCCTCAATATATCCCAAGGCCTTCGGGAAGATGACTAAGCCATAAATACCCAGTGCAAAAAGATCAAATCGAATTTTCTCGTCAGGATGACTTTGAATAATTTCTTTAATAGCAGTCCAAGAAATACCTTCACTTTCGCCTTTTTGTTTGGTACGAGCAACCACCCATTCCTCGCGCACTCCCGCAATTTTTGCTAATTTGATTCTGAAGGGTTGAGTTTTGGTGGACTTGGAATAAATCCGATTCTGTTGAGCCTCTTGTATGTGCAACAAAGCAATATATTCTTCGATGGTAGGAACCATATCTTCTTGATTGAAAGTGAAGCAGTTGTAACCTGGATTCCAAAATTGAATCAAGGCTCAGAGCAGCTCATCCTCTATGTCAACATACAATAGATAGGAAATGTCCCCATAACACTGGTAAAACTGCAGTTTCTTACTTGATTCCCATTTTTCCCAAATGTCTCGTAAGTCTTGGACGTCATTTCTTTTAAGAGAAATAAGAGCATAACCCAATAATTCTGACACATGATCGGCTTGCAAACTGTCCCCTTCTTGTCTTTGTAGTGCTTCAGTCCACTGTCGTACCTCGGAGTTTTGAATAATTTGACTCGAATACTTTTCGTCCATTACTGAAAGATTTCCAATTTGATGATTAACTAAAGATCAACACCCTCAATCTTGAATGATGCAATGCAAATATCAAAAATGAAAGGAAACAAGAAAATGAAACAAGTTAGTACATGTAATGAGTTAATAAAATTTTGGAAAGAAAAAAAAATCCTACCCATCATGATAGCTACCCAAACATACTTTTTAATAAATAACAATCCTACCCAATCATGCTTTCTAACCCATATACTTAAAATAATAAGATAAACCTTAAACCGCATAATTTTCTAATTCACATGCATTTATAAAAATAAATTTAAAAAAGGTTAGAGTTCATTTCTCCTTTGTGTACACTTATTTGGGTACCTATGGACAAAGTTTCGGCTTGGTCTTAAATCGGGTGGGTTTCTATGGTTTATTATATACAGAGTTTCGGTTCTAAGAGTAAAGGTACTCGAATTGTCCTTGTTGGTGCCCCCTTGGGCGAGCCAGACCCTCAATCCTCACCCATTATAGGCTTAAGCGGATCGAGTTCAATTCGAGGGGGCACAATTCCCTATACCTGACACGGAGAATAAATTCTCACGAAGACATAGGATATATGTACTCCGGAAGCTAATTGCTAGGTCTGACACGGAGAATAAATTCTCACGAAGACGTCGCTTTCACTCCCACTTAAAAGGAAGAGCTCATGTATATAGCTTATGTTATGCAATGCAAGTGTTGTGTGTGAGGAGAAATTATCAAACCTTTGACAAACAACGACACAAAAATGAACTAAAGCGAATCTGTGACTTTAACATCTGAAAATTAATCAAATACACTCATTAGTATACAAAGATATTAAACAACAATTGAAAGGAATCAAAGGAATCGTAAATTAAATATAACCGAATTCTCAATTTCTAACTATAGACACCATATATAATCGATTTAAGGTTTGAGCCTCTAATGTCCCCAGCAGAGTCGCCAAGCTGTCGTAACCGATTTCCGGCGATACGAAGTGTCTCGACTCATTTCGTGAAAACCCGATTTTGTAAAAGAAATATTTCGGAGTCGCCATCGACCTTTTGGGTTAGGTAGACCGAATACCCAAAATCTTCTTTTAAAAGAGTTTTTAAGAAAACATCATTTTAAAAGATGCATCGATCCACGTATAACCAGAAATTCATTTTTAGTAAAAGAAAAGTTCGGGGGTCGATTACGTGTGGGGAAGGATTAACACCCCCACAACGCCCAAAATTGGTACCCATCGATTATATTTGTCTCTAAATAGTAGAAATCTAAGAATTCGAATATATATTTAGATCACGATTCCATTATTCCTAATTTAACCATACAAATATTATAGAACAAAAATTCTAAGGAAAAATATAAAATATTCTCTTATTTCCAATTGAAGAGAAAATACTCCCTAAAATACTTTAGGACGAATATTTCTCTTCCC